GTATGCGCGTGTGTGTGCGCGCGTGTGTGAACCCATAATTTGAAGTATATACAGGACATAAGGAAGAGCCGGTAAATCTCATTAACTTAATTTTACCTTAGATCCTTGTGAGAATTAGCTCCAATTTTAATGACGGCTTTGATATGAAGCGCTAATATTCGACCAGGTTTCACCGAGACCTAAGGGCGTAGGATCATACAACTGCAGGGGAATGGCAATTTATCGTCGCTTTATTGTTAGATTTGCCATACAATCTTCCCATCACAACCCTTCACATAAAATGAAAGTCACCAATACATGAAAAACTAGGGCCTATTGTCAACAATTAAGCGTCTATTGTTAACAACAAGCTAACAAGAAGTGACATCATTCTAGCTTCCTGTCTTTTGATGTTAGTCTTCGCTAGCTGCCCGTCTCTTTTATATTTAAGTACAAATATGTGTCTATAAAGACATTTTGGAAATGTCGCGAAAAAGATAAAAACGATTTCTGAAGTCTTTCTTGAAGTGGCAATAAATAAGAGGGTCAACTTATTAATTGATGAGGTTGCAAAGTCAAGAAGGCACACCAACAATCGACTTTAATCAAGCGAATTGAAGCAAGCAAAAGATAAAATTTCCAACGGTTCCTTCAAAAGCATCTGTATAGCGGAAGCTGATAACAGGTAAACATAGACCTTGGTTATGCGTCGGCAGAAAGGAATGCTGTAACCTAATCCCAATTTAGCGATTCGTGATAGGCTTGATTTCTTGTCTACATTATTTTACGTCTCCAAATTTATCCATCTCTTACTAAAATCACGTATAATATGCAGACTGCCTTAAGCTGAATAAATGGCTTAATAAGTGTTTTGACGACACCTTTGGAAAACATACCTCTCTGACTCTTTACCTGCCATTGTTGCTTTGTGTTATAGCATCGCATCACTAACTGGATTTATGACCAGGCATCTCGTCGGGACGGTAGCCAGTGTCCTCACCGAGAAGAGCAATCTTCTGCACTGAGCAACAATTCGTTCACGGGACAAGTGAAATCACTCCATTTGACCATAATTAAGTTGAAAATTTGTGGATTTTCGCTTTTACCTTTTCGTCTAATACATTTTATAAGGAACTTATTCACTTAAATTCGCTAAAGGTGGTAAGTAGACTGGTAGTTGAATTTTCTCATGAGGATATGAATAGACAGGAAGTTCCTATTGAATTTCACACAGCTTTACTTTCCCAATAGGTATTATCATCCAGACAGGAATGGACTTTAGTTTCGACCTCGTTTAGGTCTCATCAGCACCTCCAGCGGGACTCGAATCATGATAGTGAAGCGTATAATCTCGAAATATTAACCATTACGCCACATTGACACGAGTGCAATCAGGTAACAGGGCAGAGGCAAATTTCATTGAGGGCCATACATTTTCACGTATAACATTCTGTAGTGGGATTATTGATTAAGCAATATTGTATTTGATATTGCAATCAACTACTTTTTTATTTTTTGTTTATAAGTATATTTTTGAGACTAACAGTATATTATATATATATATATATGAGATGTATTCATCCTTTTTCGTTAAGGCCTTACTGATATCACTGTCGGAAAAATTGTTATATCAGTCCTCAATCACCCTAACAAAATGGGGTGAATTCATCTCATGTATAAGATCTAGTGGAAGCTTCCAAAACCTACTGACATGTTTAAGCTTAAGGGGGATCATTCTGAGAAAGACTGTATTTAAATTAAAAGGTGCTTAATTTCATACTTTGGGTGAGCAAGTGTCATCCCAGTGGATCTGTTGGAAAGGGACTTTTATTGCTGGATCCGAAATGGTGGAAAAAATTATTTCCTCTTTTCATTAGTGTCCTCGAAATTTCGTGTATTAAACAACTGATCAACTGAATTCTCTGTATCAGCCGTAGTATCAGCCCTACACGAAGAATTATTTACACAAGGGGCCCAGAATTAATGGGACCATGCATATGTAAACCTAAACATGAACTACTAAATAGCCATTATTCCCACTAATATTCTTCTAGGCTTCTCGGTTCATTTAGTATAATGGTTTAAAGTCATAGCTTTCTCTTACCCCTCCCTTCTGTCCCAGTCCCTGGTGTTCATAGTACTGGCCTATCTATTTTGCCATTATTAACCTATGAGGTATGCCATCTCTTTAGTTGGCCCTTATATTACAGTCGATTCTATTTTACCCAGTTCAGTTTGTTAAATTTAATAGCAAATCTCATGATCGTACCCAGAACTAATTTGTCATAACCCATTTTCCATGAACCAACCATGACTATGTCTCCAAACTTCACTAAACAACTATATTGAGATTTTGGGTCATTGGGAATCGAAACTCTTTTTCCATGATGGAAAACTTACTGGGACGATTGTGACGGGTAGCCTCCTCTTCTGCAAACTTTGAGTATGACTCCGCTAATTTCTCATTTAAAGATGAAGCACTGATGGTTGAATTTTCCCAAAATAATATGCGTTGGTCTCACGATGCCAGTGAATTTCATTTAGCCTTGCCTCTCATTAGGCATTATCATTCAGGCTGGAATGCAGTTTTGACCTCGTCTGGGTCTCAATAAAACGCTGGATGAGAATACCTTTTAAAAAGCAAGCTTAAGTGAAACCCTTTGGCAATCTGAGACCTATTCATATCATTCTAGCAAACTTCAACCATCAGACCTTCAGCACCTTATGCCAATTGGTAGGATTAGAGCCTTTATTCAAATTCTAATTGCAGTCTTGAAATATAGATTCGATTAATATGATTTTTCTGTTGCTTGACTACTTAATGCCATGGCAATATGTTGTGTCCAATAGCACGTAGCTAGATTTAATGCTACCTCCAAATGCCAAAATGTCTGCTGACAAGTGAGATCAGCAGAGTCTGGCACCATGCTTGGCAAATTATCGTAGCGCATGATGCTCTGTTCATACGCTGCCCGTCACTTGACAGACGAAAGCTCAGCAAGGATCCATCGGGGTCGCAGGGCGGTGAGTGAGGACCTATTCTACAAATGTACAAGCACAACTTCAAGGCAATCACTCTACAGTTTCCTGTAAGGCCGACTTACGAATCCCTTCTATTCGCCTCTTCAAACGAACTTAATGGAAATCCGCTATTAAGTTAGAATGTATTAGCCCTAGGTCACTTAATGTGATTTAAGTAATGATAGATAAATTGTGCCACGATGTAACGAGAAGAGTTTACAGAGCCAATGAAGTTTTCTTATAATTGTCTTTTTTTTTAAATTCTCATTTATTATTGAAGGCAGTTTTGGCCTCATCTAGGCCTCACCAGCAGCCCCGTAGGGTTTCAAAACGGGATTGCGTACATCAACTAGCACCAGGTTACCACCTGACGACACAACCACATTATGGATGTGATTCTTCGGGATAAGCCGGGCCTCTTTTAAATCACATTGTAACATAAGGTTGTCGATGAGCCAAGCATGCAGTCGCCGCTACAATCGACTATGCAATCCTCTGTATTAGAGCACTTTTTGAAGATAGAGATAAACTAACTTAACATGCATTCTAAGGCCTGCTGATATTATCGGTCCTTAAATTGCCTCAAGCGAATTAGAGGGTATAAATATTTATTCAAGTATTAATGATAGCATAGAAAAACACTCTCCGCGAAAATATGTAACATGTGCTGGATTCCTTTTAATGAAGAGAAAACAATTATCCTACCTTTCGGAAGCAAAGCATGATAAAAGTGCCTAGTTAAGTCCATTTTATTTTTATGTACCCCTATTTAAGCTGTATAGTCTTTTAGGGCATGATTTTATGTCCATCTGTGAATTGGTGTCGTAGAGTTGACTGGGTATACTTCCAAAGTAGTAATGATCAATTGATTGTGGTCATATTGTATGTCTCTAATAAATGGGTGATCATCAACCCCTAAGGGCTATTAAGCTTTGAAAGTCTTCCTTCAAAACTATCTTTTTGCAAAAGATTACTCCAGTTTGCTCTAGCTTATTTACACCATGCTTCAGATCGTTCAGCCCCTGTCTTAATTGCAATAATTGTGGTTCCTTCGTTTCTCTTTAAAAAAAAAGCGATTTTTGTTGATTGCCGTTTCTGCCGGCGTAGTTGACAGGACGTAAACAGAGTTTTAGGGACGTAGTAAAGCTATGATAAAAGAATAATCTTTAAAGAGATAAGGGTTTCTGCTGTTCCAGCAAATATAAAGAAATATTGCCCCAGTAAATGAGTTAGAAAGAGTTTTGGCAAAAGGTAATATGCAGATAATATTCCTGACGTCACATGAAACATAAAATATAATCATTGACCTCACATACCTTCCATTCTTTGGTCTCCGCCCGATTGAGTTAATACTATCCCGTTCGCCAATAGCACTTTTTTCACGGTTCGACAGCTTTGGCTCCTTCTGTCCACTTCCCTCGCCTTCAATGCCATCCACCTGTTCTTCCCAGTCCTGAACAGGGTTCTCCACAAGGTCATAGCTTCTCAGAAGGAGACTGTCCCTCTCCTCATCGCTGAGAGCAATATCGCCCATGTAAGCGTCTGTGCATGGAAGATAAAAAATGAACCAAACTTTAGAAAAAAGGCTTATGCAAAGCTAAGTTCTTGATAAGAACATTGGACTCAATGAGCGTAAATGGAAAAATTTACCCTAAAAGATGAAAAAGATAGTCCCAAAAGGCCGTTTAAAACAATGCAAAGACTGGAAGTTGAAGGGCCCACATGGATGAAAATTCACATAATCATTTTCTTCCACATAGCCTTGCCTCCAAAAAGGCCTTCTCATCCAGTTTTGGCACAATTGTAATTGCGACATAACCTGCATCTCATCAGCCTCCGAGATTTGAAAGTGGGTCGCTTGCTTTATTTGGAAATAAATTATCATCCCACCGGTGAGTCAAAGAAGAGCTATTCAAAGAAAGCTTGGCCTCGGGTAGATGTCGACGGATTACTTTATTAACCTCAAGTTTTTTGAGATTATATAGGCCCCATACTTTCATTGAAATTCACATGGCCCTGCCTAATATGATACATGCTGATCCAGACTAGAGTGTGATTTTTACCTCGTTTCTGTCTCATCAACATCATATTTCCAGGTCAAAATTGCAGTCCAGTCGCGATGGGCAAGCCTCTTGAAAGTTAATTCTATGTCAAAGTCAATGGCAACGCTAATTATAATAATTTCACTGTTAGTAATTTAACTATCAGTGCTTCATTCATCCAAATAGCCTTGGGTGACTTGAGTTATCAGTCTATATCTACTGATAATTTCGTAACTCATAAAGATAATATATAATTATCGTCTCACATGCAATTAATGCTAGGGTACGGTTTCAAAATAACAAATTCATCCGCATTTTCACCACGCCAATCATTAGGAAAAATGGCCTTTGGTGATAGAGTTAGGGAAAACAGTGACAAAACTAGTGATAGCAACTAGATTTTGGAGGCTTTAATTTGTAGCTAGGTCTATAGGTTACAAAAAAAGGACTGATATTGAATAAGAATCTGAGTCCCCTTATGTTGCTCAAGGAGATGCCGAAACTGACAGTTGAACTTCTTTCAATGAAATGAAATGAGGGTCTCTGGTTGCTACTGAACTTCCCTTAACTGAGTATCCCAAAAGTTTATTATCATGGGCCTCATCACTACTCCCAAGGGTTGATGAGCGTTATACACTAACGTTAATATATATAAATATATATATGAAGAGAAACTGGCTTGCGAATAATTATTTAATAAATGTATATTGATATGGTATATTCATCCTACTTCGTTAATAATGGTAAGGGTACTGGTAGTTTAATTTTTCCAAAATGCTATAAGTAAACCTTACGTTTCCAGTGAATTTTATATATTTTTGCTTTCTCAAAAGCTATTCTCATCCAGAGTGAAATTCAATGAAAACGTAAGGACTATTTAAATCATTATGTGAAAATTAAAAAACCAGTCCCCTCTTATAACCTTAAACAGCTAGGATGAATACACCTCATATATATGATCTAATAATAGTCTCAAAAATCTTCGTATAAAAGAGAAAGAACTAATGTACTCGATTTCTATAGCAAATAAAATTTTGCTTTATCGAAAATTCCACACTAGAATGTGGTATGAGAAGATGCTTGGCCCTCTTTGAAATTCACATCTGCCCTGTGAACAAGGAGCACTCGTGGCAGTGTGGCATAGGGATTACAAAGTCGAGATTACATGATGCTACTCTCACCAGGAGTGCTAAGGTGACCTGGGTGAGGTGTAAACTACAGTCAGTCCTGTCTGGATAAGAATACCTTTTAGGAAAGCAAGGATATGCGAAATTCAATTTAAACGCTAGGTCTACTCACATCATTGTGGGAAAATTCAACTACCAGTTCCTCGTCATCTTAACCGAAATAGGGTAAATATATCTCATATATAAAATCTATTGTTAGCATTGCAAACATACTTACAAAAGAATATAATAAATTAACTCTGCCTTTTATCTCATATCATCTCTTCAATATTGACGATCCGTGATCTAATCTCACTATGGGTGGTGAAAAGACGCAGACGAGGTTGAAAGTGAAGTCCCTCTTGGTTATGATAGCCTTTTTGGAGGCAAAGCTAATTGAAATGTAATGGCATCAAGAGGCTCAATCATCTCATTGTGGGAAAACTCAACTATCAGTCCTTAAATCTCCTTAAGCGTACTACGTTAACTAAGATCTTATTATGCTTGATTCTCTGTTGGAGATTAAACTATCAATGCATGCCTCAGAGACTTCAGATTATTCATGTTCGCAGAGAGTTTAAAAGCCTATTTATTAGCTGAGCAGAGAGATATCCTATTATGCACAATAGTTAAAAGGTTGGGGCTGGGACGCTGAACTAGTCAATCCGTATCTCTAGTCAGACTACCAATTCGCAAATTTCAAACTGGCTAGAGTATCAGCGGTGTCACAAAAAGATGTATCGTTATAAACTTTACTGCAAAGAGGATGGAGTAATATATTATTAAAAGAGGATAAATCGTCATGCCAACAAGCGTGGCTGAATGGACAAAAAATTAAATCAGAATAACTATTCATTGTTAAACAAATGATTGATAACAAGACTTGCCATATCAATTTGATAGCGTAAAACGATTTGGAGGCATTAAAACAATTTGATACCAAGCACATGCGAGAAGAAGGAGATATCCACTATCTCATACTCGAATTTAAACTGAACTTATAAGCAGAGATATGTGAGCCTAGATGTAAAAATGGATTAATACCCTTTAGCATGCACATGTACCCTCGGCGGAATTCGTCTTGAGGAGCTTTGAGTTTGACAACGAATAAATTAATTGAGAAGCTATTCGGTAGTAACATGGTGTAAGCCATTGTTTGAACACTCATTATATTTCCATATACTCCCTATACAAGTTATTATGAGCCTTGTTATTTTGCTCTTTACCTTAAGTTACGGTCTTTAACAAACTTACTCATACTGGAAATAATCAGTGTTAACTACAGTCATTTTGGCTGTTTAATTTTACCAAGTTTGTTGAGGAGGGGAACTCTCGTCGCAGCTTTGCAAAGACGCCTGATTCGGGCAACTTACATGCTGTTAGGCAAGGTTGCTGGGTCAAAATGCAGACATGCAACATCTGAGTCACAGGGCAGACATGAAGTTCGGAGTAAACCAGGCCTATCCCATATCATGCGTATAATGAGATTATGAATTGGCAAGCCTGTACTTTGTCATTAAAATATACTATACTACTTATTTTAAATGTAAGTAGGTTTCTAAACTATCAGTAGAACTTATTTAAGAACTGTATACACCCAAGGTCGTATAAAGGAGTGATAGTTAAATTTTTCAAAAAAATACAAGTTTGCATATAGAAATTTTCAATATTAATATAGAAGATGCCTAGTTTGCCACTAAATGCATATCTGCCCAGTGACCCATTGGCACTCGTGGCAATATGGCAGAGAGGTGATATATCGAAAATATAGGCTACACTAATTTAGCTCAATTTCGCTTGTGGACAAGGACGAGACAGAAATTGCAGCCCAGTCTGGATGAGAATGCCTTTCGGGATGACCGTTAACTAGATTGTAGATATGAAGACCACGATGTTGTGGCAGGACAGAAGTAGGTGTGATGACACAACCGTTAGGCATAAGGTTGGTCAAGTGATTAACTCTACTTATCTCTTTGTGTTAGGAATGTCAATACTCACGGATGATGCAAAACACCTGGGAATGTATCGAGTTCACAGTCCAAAGCTGGGAATTATCGTAGCTACTGTAGCAGAAGACTTCGAAAAGAGTGCATCCAACGTGGTCCCCCTGACAACACGACCAAATTGCGAAAACGAGGTCAGACCATTTATATTGTTAAGTAAGGTTTTAAATCTACACTTTGCACCTATCCAAAATAAAAACTGTAATCATATCCTTTAGAGCTTTGAAAAGTGGCTGGGTTTCGATTAATCTCTTAGGATAACATTGTTTTTGAGACCTTTATTTCGTACAAAAATGCTTGATGAAGAGATTCGTTGGCTAATATCACCGTAAAACGCATGTCAATTCCCGCTATTCTGAAACCATCTGGCTTTAATACGACATTTAGGTTGATGCAGTTTTTGGGTCATTAAGCCTTGATGACCAGGGCCTGACGTTAGACTTTTGTGGTTACTAATTTATGAAGGCTATTGCCTTAAGACGTAATAACACCCATGCACACAAACAGTCACACTTGAACAAAAATGCCATAACTAGCAGTCTTCTTGACTGATGTTAACTTGAGACTGTGCAAGAATAAATTCCAGTTTTGATACTCTCCGTTTTATGATGAACGAAGGCTCGGCCTGGTTTCACCCGAAACCAGGAATGATTCCACCTTGACTGTCTCAACATCAACGTCATATTAAGGTCAGGAGACTGCAGAACAGTGGGAATCGGCCGTCGTCTTGTGCTGAGATCAGCCAACGAACCTCTTCATCATGCGCTTTCATACGAAATAAAAGTCTCCACAACAACCTTATCATTTAGTCATAAACTTTGCTTCGCTTAGTTGAAGTACAAAATGAAATATGTTAAGGAAAGCCAGATAAGTAATAAAGTGTCGCATCTAAATGTCGTTAAGTCGGAAACGTCATTCTTCGTTTGGCTGAATTTAAACTAAACTACTTGATAGTACCTCCCTCTTAAAACCCCCACCGACGGAAGCGCATGTGTTGTAAGTAGTTTAGAAGAAGAATGACTAGGTTCTTCTTCGCAGTAAATTAAGTGCTTTTGAAACAAAATGAATATATTTTAACGATGGATGCTATTTAAACTATCCATA